GAGAGAGAGAGAGATTTGGTGTGCCCGCGTCGGGGAATGACAGGATGATCCTACTCGACACGGGGGGGGATGGATCGATCCGAATCTTTACGAAATCTGCTTTATAGTTTATATATCGTGCCGCCTGACCGGGACAATGCGAGCTGCAAGCAAAACTATATAGTCCTGGAACTATAATAACGGGGGATTAATCTGTTTCGTCGTTCGTGACTCGAAGAATCGAATGCGTGCTCGATCGATCGATCGAACGAACGAACGAACGAACGAACCAAGACTGTGTTTTTTTATTCCAAGTTTGAGAGGGAGAGAGAGAAAGAGAGAGTGAGAGTGACATCCATTTTTGGACGATCGAGCATACGACGAAGATATTTTTTTCCCAGAGGAAGGATCGTTCCACGCATAGAGGGGAGGAAAAAAAAAAACCTATGCTGTGCTACTAGGGCCTTAGTAGTAGTAGCAGCAGCAGCAGCAGCAGCAGCCTAACGTGGTGTTGAATGAATAGCCGGATGCGAAAATGCACGATGGATCGCGTCCTGTGTGTTCGAACGATCGAGAATGAAAAATTGGGGAGAAGAAGGACTCGAAGGAACAATGGGAGACGTCGCCCGTCTTTTCGCTTGCGAAGTGAAGGATACGGAAGAAAAGAATTGTAATTTAAGTGTGAAGCGAAAAAATTCTGTGTCCGGGGGGAATTGAAAAAAAAATTCGTTCGAGAGTGCCGAAATGCGAAAAATACACGCGAAGATTATTATATCCATATATATATACACACACATGTTTTACGATGGCCATCCTCGACGAGAAAATTATTATTATTATTATTATTATAATTATAATTATAATTATTATTATTATTATTATTATTACGCTGCGCTATTTTGTTTCTCGCGGCGAGAAGGAACAACAGTTGAGCCGTTTTGTACTAAATTGGAGGGGATAATCCACGCACAAGGGACACTAACGGCCTGTGGAAAATCAGATTTCAAAAACGGAGAGGAAGGAAAGGTGGAAAAAAGAAGATAGTAATTTTACGATAGACAGAGAGAGAGGGAGAGAGAGAAAGAGAGAGAGATTAATTACTTTGTTTACTTTTTATTTATGCGATAATATCATAGTGAAAATCATGTTTAAAAAAAAAGCTAATCGAGCGAAACACGAGTTAAATATAAACGTACGTTTATATCGCATAATTCTACAATTATACGAGAAAATTATATTCAACAGAGAGAGACAGAGAGATTACGAAAGACACACACACGGAGACGAGAATCTGGAAAAATGTTTCTTTCTCGCCACACAACATCGAAAACGATGAAATGAAAATGACAAAAGCGATATTTATACTATATTATACTATACTATACGAAACAGGATCAAAGATATATCCTTTCCTTTCTGAAAGTATGACGATTCTAATAACAACAGCAGCAGCAGCAGCAACGAACAGCAATAATAAGTAAACGCCGCGAAGAGATTTCTCGCTTTTAGCGCGATTCCAAGTGTATGGTTTCGCGACGAGCGAAGCCTTAAAAAAAAAAAAGAAAAAGAAAAGAAAAAAAAAAACAACCGTGACTTCGATCCTTGTGCCTCGCATTTTGCACTGTTCTTCGTCACGCACGAATTGCCTCTCGTTCGCGGCGACGCTTTTTTTTGTCGCCGATGCCGATACACGAACTATAACGACGAGTTTAAAATTATTCTCGTCCAGTGATATCGCGTGTGCATGCCATATAACGAAGCTAACTGCCAAAATGCCAGTTACGCGACCAAAGGTGTGTTTTCTTCTCGCTTCGAACGAGGTCGCCACTCGACTTTCGGATATATATATATATATATATATATTATAATATACGATCGAAATGCCTTCTTTCGCTCTCGATCGCATCCAACCAATCGTTATATCGTCCAAGGATAGTTTTCACGCGAAAGGGAGTATGGATTCGTGAATTTTTTTTTTTAATACGTTGTGAACGATTCGATCGGATGAAATTTGTGTATGCGAGATTGGATGGTTCGAGCGAATCAAGGACTCGTTCTTGGACGTCTAATCGTTGAAAGGTATGATACGGTGATTCGAATTCAAATTCCTGGGAAACTTTGGGTTTCTCGTATTCGACGTAACGATAAAGGCGATCGATTCGATGGTAATACTACTACTCGAGAAAGCGAAGAGGTTAGGTTACGTTTGTATCGAAAGGTGTTGTATACGTGCCATAATAATTTTTTATCGTGTCATCTTTTTATTGATCATTGATCAACCTTTTTTTTTCCCCTCTCTCTCGAAATTTCGTTCAATACCTTGCTTGGTATTTAGTAGATGTTTTCAAGTGCCAAAAAAAAAAAAAAAAATCGCGTCAACGCTTTAGACGTCTAAGCTTCGAAGCGAACTTAGATTTTGGTGGTTTGCTTTTCGATATTAAAAAGAAAGAAAGAAGAAACGATTTACGGCGAGCGTCGAGAAAGTATTCGTGCGTCAATTAATTGCAAAGTGAGATTGTCGAATGTATAATTTTTAATATTTTTTTTTAAAATTATCGCGTTTCGATATTCGCCTTCCCCCCCCCTTCCTTTTTCTTCG